ATAATGGATAGACGAAAATGGTATAAAAATGATAATTTCTAAATCATTTATGAAGCAAATTAAGTTTTTAAAGTAAAATAAAATGGTAATTTTTTAATACTTATTTTATAACACCCTTTATCTATTTATGTCGTAAGAAAATAAAATCCATCTATACTTATATAAGCATTACACTTATACTGTAAATTGATAAATAAAAAATTGACTTCAAAACAAAATTTATAAGAAATTTAAATAGTAAACTTCTTTTCAAAGATTGATGTTCAACTTTGCATCAAATAGTTGATTAACTTGTAAATCAAAGGGAAAAAATAAAATAAAATTAACATAGAGAAAAAATATATGGTTAAGAAATGGTAAATAAACCTTTTTTTTTTTTCAAATGTTGACATTTTCCTCAAAAAAATTTGCACAATACAATATACAATAAAGGTTATTTTTTCTATACAATGCAAGACATTATAAATGTATATAATACAGATTCGATTACTTATTTACTTGGGCACAGTGCACATGAATTATGAAAGAAACTTGAAAAAGTTCTGTATTCATAGGAATTGATAACACAATCTTGAGATTACTTAGTTTTAAAAAAAAAAAAATCTTGAGATTATGGCCTTATTCTCAAGGTTCCTTAGTCCTTACTAATTCATGTGAGGCCTCGTTGTCCATTTTACAGGTCATTAACTTTTAGTTATTTTAAGTACTAGTATAGTTTTTTTTTGCTAACTTTACATTTTTATTTTGCTATACTAGTATGGTAGATTAAGAGTTAAGTCCACACTCCACAGCCCCAGGTCCATTTGAGAAAATTGAGGATGAATTCAGTGATGTAATTGGACCGGAGTTCTCTTTGATATGCTAAATTGTTTGTTCGGCTTAGTATAGGCCCATAAAATGTCAAGTGCAGCTTACCAAAAAAATTGTTATAATTGGTTCAAGTTCTAGGTTAAGCCCACACTCCGCAGCACCAGGCCCATTTAAGAAAAATGAGGAGGAATGAGCCCAAATGGTTGAATTCAGTGAATTGGACCGGCTTTACGATTTGCTGAATTGTTTGATGGACTTAGTTTAGGCCCATCAAAATGTCA